TATATATATATATATATATCTGAATCGCAAAATGAATCATGCCTACATAAATTTATACACAAACACATATATGTAGAATCATAAAGGATGGTATCGCAAACAAGTGCTCATCACAAATGTGTGTTCTGGGTACAATAGCGGATGGCAACAGCGTCGAATAGCTTGAACCCTTTTTCCACACGTACCTTAGTAGCTACTATCTTACTGAGGATCACACAGGCTGGTAGAGAGAGCACCTCGTGCAACTTAGCACAGTTGAGTTCGAGCATAGTGAGCTCTCCTTCCCCAGAAAACATCGAGATGTTCAGGTCTTTTTCCCGGAAATTCTCGGTGAACATGGCCAGTCGTTTGACCAGCTGGCGTTTCAGTATAGACGCCATGGTGGCGGGATGATGCTTCTATAGGACGTGTTAGGGCTAAGCTATACTAACCATCTATTATATAGATATATATATATATATATATATAAGGACTAAATACACACTTTGAGCCAGCGGCGGGGATGGAGATTGTATTATAGAGAATCAAAAGCCAGCATCAAAATATGAAGCCACAGAATACGCGCTCTATAAATATACACCTTTTTTGTGTTCACTTTCCGGCCACACCAATGAAAACGAAGATGCTTGTTTTCAGATTTCAGAATATCAGAGATGAAAGATAGCACTTATTGTGTTGTTTCGGTTCGAGAGGGCTACGAGAAGAGCTCTATGCTATCATATGGCCTATGTGGATATTTCAGGCTGATGCACCTCATAAATATGCGTGTAAAAATGTTCCAAGGAAGATTTGTGACATACAGATCGATAATCGTTTGCATCTGCAATATCAAATTGTTCAGTAACCCTTCATTGTTCTGTTTGTGGACTGTATTCATGATGCCCCATGTATCTAAATCATAGTATATAATAAGCACATCTCCACCGCGAGTATACCTAATTTGCGTTGCTCATAACTCTTAAAAGCTCTATAGTAGTAGCTTGACTAGCTTCGCATGTGACCTTAATAGCGGGCGCGCGTAAGCCATTATTTTATACTCCAGAGAGACTCCAGACGACAGACGAGTCCATACTCCCCAGAGTGCAATCTGAACCTCGTACGAATGGTTTTCAATTTCATCATAGCCTCCTAGAATCTAAACAGAACGTAAATATTACATGATCGCTTAGGCGTAGAGTTAGAGACAGCCGAAATATCATAGCCTCTCTTAATTAAAAAAAGTACAAGGAGACTATGGAAATATTTATGTATTTGAATTACAGTATAAAAACCCTCCTAGAAACCCGGGGGGGTGAATAAACCAAACAAATGTTTTTTTTGGTTTTTTTGGTTTTTTTAAAGACCACACAAAGGGTTTTTTTTTAATATTTTTCATAATAAAATAATACTGTAAATTCCACGCTCTCAATAAATTTATCACTCTTTTTGGAATACTTTGATATGTGTTGATAAAAAAAAAGTATTTGTTGCTAATTATACCAATTGATGTATTTATGATAAAATAGTTGCGCCTACATACGTACGACCCACACAGAGAGGCTACTCTCGAATCTCGAGTCTCGACTCAGAGTCAAGAGAGGCTATTTCCATTTTATTCTGTGGCTGTCTCAGCCACTCTCAGGCTGCGGACCTAGTAGTCGGCTAGTCCTGTGGCCATATTATGCGGTGGCTGCGGTGCGTCGGTGTGTAGTCGGTGACTGTGAGTCGCGAGACAGAGGAGAATCCTTGACCTGTGTGGTGGTGACTGGGGTGAGACTCGCGTGAGACCCGTGAGCCCGTGAGCCCGTGAGCCCGTGAGCCCGTGACTTGTGTGAGATTGCGTGTGGACTGTGGACGTGGATAGTATGGGGTGACTGTGGAGTATGGACTGCGGATTGTGGACTGTGGATTGTGAGTGTGGCACTATGGGGAGTGGAATGTGGACTGTGGACTCACTGGACTGACTGGATTCGCGAGACTCTCGTGTGGAGAGTGGAGAACTGGAGACTTTTGAGTCTGGAGTTCTGGACTCTCTCTGGTGGAGTGTGAGAATAGTGAATACAGAAAACTCTCTCTCAGTGGAATAGAGAGTCTGTGAGACTGACGGCTGACGCCTATAACAGGGTCTGTCTGTGAAGTGTTCACTCTCCCCGGAGCCACTGGGGAGGACTGGAGGCCATAGGCCATAGGGTGTCAGAACTGGAGAGGAATATCGGGATTCGGGGCTCGGGAGTGTTTTTTGTTGTTGTTTTTCTCGCTGTTACCCAATCCGATTTAATCCGCAGCAATATTTTTCGCCGTACCCAGTCAGAAACATTACAGTCACAGATCAGACTTTTTTTGGAGCCGGATTTTCGGTATAGAATCTGTGCTTTCCAATCTGGAAAGTAACCCAACCCACATATTTGGGCTATCCGCTATCGGTATTTGGTTAAAGTGATCCAAAACATTTGGGCTTCTGCCTTGCTAGTATATTGTGCAAGCCAATTTGTATCTCAATTCCCAAAGTTCAAATGTAAAATATTAAAAATCTGCATAGTGTCATAGAATATCTATCTGAAAAGCGGGGCACAAAGAGAAATGCATAAAATTGCCAAAGCTTCCGAGTTCAGACACGATAGAGTATTCAAATACCTGGCTGGCCGGCTGTGGGCCTGTGGACCAGGCTATGGTATGCCAAATTGCCAAGATACCATATCAGATTGTCTTTTGACGTCAAATGCCGAATTACGATCACATAATAGATTTCTATGCATGAATAATTTTGATATATATTTATAGCCAAACCCTGGGTGTGGCTTCCATTATCACAAGAGTATCTATGATTGACCGTCATATACACACATGGATACATTATAGATGCACTTTTTTGTACACGTATAAGCGATAACTACAGAAACCATGCAATTCGCCGACCGGAGGCCGTTTTATGAGAAGGCATTTCACGCAGTATGGCGACAGGTATGATATGTACTGTAACTACTGCTTAAATTGTAATATGTACTTTAATACGTTGCCCTGTTGAGCTGTTTGAGGATCGTACTAAGACACAGGGATGCTTCAAATATCTCTACTTTCAGTTGTATATTATTTCTCATGATTTTAGTATTTGGAACCAAGTTAAACGACTGCAGCAGTCGGCAATCCCAACGACTCGGAAATGTTTTCTATCATACATGTACGAATACATAAACATAAATATGTATATATATATATGTGTGTGTGTGTGTGTGTGCATGTATATACAAGTGTATATAGATATAGATATATGTACATTTTTATGTAAAAAATATATATAGATTGATATGAATGTATGTATAAATACATACATACATATATATATATATGTATAATATATATTATATATTGTGTTAAATGTGTGTGTGTGTTTTATATGCATATATGTATAAACATATATTTCTATTATGTATATATATGTATGTATATAAATATATGTGTGTGGATTTATTTGTTACTTATGATATAGATATATATATATATATGTTTATGTGCGTGTGTTTGTGATATATGTCTATGTATGTATGAATGTGTGTGTGTATTCTATATATGTATTTAAGTCGAAGCATACGCATATTTACATATGCATGATGATATGCGCATGTGTATGTCCATAATGACATGAAAAGTGTGTGTATGGTATGTTAGTTTTTCAATGAATGACGTACGTAGTGAACCTGCGTGCCAACTGTTGTTCATGTTAATGTAAAGCACGCATATATATCAAAATATAGCATGCAACAACTAAAACACTGTGTGCGTGTTTAAACTGTTTTTCATCGAATATAACTACAATCCGCTTTACACTTGTTGGACGCCAACTTTAAACACGTGTCCTTCCCTCTTCAAGCACTTATGAAACCAAGCCCTACACCACACACAACCCAGCGTCAAGATGCTATAGAACCTCTCATTCACATACTCAAGTCAGCACGGACTTTCATCGCAGCAGCTAGCTAGCAAATCAAGTGTATTTGACTGTATTACATTAATGCCTTCTCCGTGTTAGAGTTCGAGGACAGTGATCTGTAATTTTATAAGGGCGAATAATCACCTCATTACCTATGAATCTACAGTACCTCAAGCAAGTATTAGTATAGCAGTACGCTCCTCTGTATCCCATTCAGAGCTTAATGGTTTTATTCGGTTGCTCATCTGTGTGCATACGCCTTGTGTCACCCACCCTTCTTACAGGTCTGCTTGCTGTATCACTTTGTGAGCGTGAATCTCGTTCATTTCTTTGAGAATTACATGCCAGGGCCGCTCCAAGGGTTTTTTAATTTCTTTGCGCCTGATATCGTATGGGCTGCGCAAATGTACACGCGCAGGTAAGTGTAGTATGTATCGGTAATCATACAAATTCACACCCAAGGTTTACAGATATAAATTTATTGCTGTGTTTATATATGCCTATCTCTATTTATCAGACGTATGTTTGTGTGTGTGCGCATGTGTGTATGATTATATATATATATATAAATGTGATACTGGTGTACGTGTAGGATTGTGTGTATGTATATGCTTATACAGGGCGCCAAGATGTCTATTGGGCCATGTACATGTACAACCGCTGGTAAGCTATTGGAGAGCGTCTTTTTTTGTTGTGTGTATATTGTTACAATTAGTTTCGCAGACAACTATAGAGCAATCAACTGTGTGTCAGTATATGTAGCTGAATAAACTCTACTCTATTTTTTTACGTCTACCCTGTGAGTAGTGTATGAAGTGCTCGTGTATATGATTCGCTATCTTTAGACATTCCCGTCCCGTTATCTCCTATTGGTGCGTTTTATGTTCAAGGGCTTAACATCCCTTCAAGATTCTCTCGCGCACCGGTGTTGAGGTCGCCCGTTCGTGTTCCTTGGGTCCCTCTCTCTAGACATGTCTGTCTTACCTTGTAGCCCGACGGGGCTTATGTCTACGATTATGATATAGTCAGTGATAACCACGATATCGAATGTTTGACTATATGTGTGCACATGGGCATGGTTTGATTTCCTGCATAGTAAAGCGAAGTCACGGATTTGTTATAACTGTAGTTCGTTCGGAATGTAGCTGATGATATGCCAACTTTTTATCTCAGGAGTACGAGTGTGACTGCTAAACTAGTGAACTATGGTCGACTCAAAATGGCGGTCATGAACTCACAGCCAGTGCAGGATGCCATCAACTTCGACATGACGCAATCCAGTGGCAGACGGTGTGTGTATAGTGATAAAGTGTGGCAAGAAAAGATACCCGTTTGTAATGCTATACAAGTACACTTTAGGCAGTTGCACAAAGAAATGTATAGTCATATGTAAATAAAATGTGCGAATCTGTGTTGTGTGAGAATTTACATATCCATCCCCTGCACAGTGATTTCAGTGTTGGGTAAACGCAGAGCATCGGCTGGCAGTATGTGATTGATTGTGGAGTTGGCTGGTTGCACTGTGTTAGATCAGATGGGTACAGGTAGTGTGGCAACGGTCGCACACGTGAAAGCATGTAGAAGCCACACGTACATGTTTTTGTAGTTGTGTAGGCTAGGATCGTGTAGGTTACATAAAGGGCCGTAGTGTACACACGTAGAATATCTGAAGACTTGTCTGTTTCAATCTAAGCCAAACAAGATGCGTTCAAACTGTGTATGCGTCAGTTGTATATGCGGTAAATAACAAAACGTGGTTGTATGTTCTGTAGCATACACTCCTCTGCGCCATATGCATTGTTCAATGAAGATGGTCTGATCCAGTTGGTGCCTCACGGCAATAACCAGTACATGTAGTAAACACATACATACTTCATACACTCCTTTCTATTTTATTATAAATGGGACGGACCGTTCTGTTTTCCACTGGCCAACAACATGATTTATGATATTGTCGTTCTAAGATCTTATTTGCCTTCCTTTTGTGTCGTGTATTCAGGTTTTCTTTGCCGAATGATTACGATCACGGCAACAAGCGAGGCAAACGCGAGGCCAAAGCACTGCACTTGTTGTCGCAAATGGCCACTAAGCCTTCCATGCTTCCCATCGTCTTCGCCGGGTACTTGCTGAGGAAAGCGTTCCGTCTGTTGTACAAGTTTGGTATCAACGTAGATGAAGAGGAGGTATGTATGTGACCTGTATTGTTATATATACGCCTGTGTGTGTGATTTCCTATATATTCTCGTCGGCTTTTGGCTGAAGAGAAAGCGTTTCGTACGTTACGTTGTACATGTTTGGCATCAACGTAGATGAAAAAGTTGTGTGTTTTGATATATATGCCTGTGGGTCTGAGGTGTGTTTTGCTGTATCTGTCTGTAGTGTGGGTGGGCTGCTCATTGCATTAGTCGCAAATATGCTCAGGAAGGTGTTTCATTTGCTACACTCGTTTTTGGCGTCAGCATAGTTGAAAATCTCGCCTGTCGTTGTGTGTTTATGACTGTTTTTCTGTGCCTGTGTATGGCTGTCTTTATGTGGGTGGGCTGCTCATTGCATTAGTCGCAAATATGCTCAGGAAGGTGTTTCATTTGCTACACTCGTTTTTGGCGTCAGCATAGTTGAAAATCACGCCTGTCGTTGTGTGTTTATGACTGTTTTTCTGTGCCTGTCGTTGTGTGTTTATGACTGTTTTTCTGTGCCTGTGTATGGCTGTCTTTATGTGTCTGCGTAGTTTGTGTTTCTATGTCTGCGTGTATGCTTTTCTGTGTCTGTCTCTCTCCGTTTGTGTAAATTTGTCTTTGTTGTCTGTGTATTTGTGTAGGTTCCTGTATGTATTTTATCCCACTGATACTATTTTTGTGTACGTAATCGTCATGTACAATTATGTACTCGTCAATGTCTGTGTGTGTACAAAATCATCATGTACAGTTCTGTACTCGTCAATGTCTGTGTGTTGTTTCAATCTGCTTCATAGTGTGCGTTCATATTTACATATTTAATTGTGCATCGAGTGTATGGAGTTGTTTTTTTTGTTTTTTTTTCTCTTCGTCAGATTTCGATTTGCCTACGAATGTATGCCTCGCCCACGGGCATCTTTATAGGTAGTGTTGTTTAGCATACTACAAATAAATTCACGTGAATTTCATTCGGAATAGCCGGTGTTTCTCTAAAACAATTGCTATCCGATTCGCATCTTTCGTCCACCCCTATTTCTTTCATCTCCTGCCTTAGATAGTCAAGCACGTATACTCTTTCACTTCATTCTAAACCCTCTCCATTCGCTCCTCCTCAGATCGTAAAGGTGCGCCTGCTCGCTAAGAAGCATCCGCTGGTCTTCCTCCCCACGCACAAGTCACACCTGGACTATCTGATCATCCTGTACGTGTGCTTTGTGCATGATCTGCCCATGCCTGCCGTGGTGGCTGGCGATAACCTCAACATGCCTTTTATTGGGTGGCTGCTGCGCCATTGTGGGGCTTTCTTTATCCGCCGCAGTTTTGCGGGGGACAACGACCCCCTATACGGTGCCATTTTCCGCGAATATCTGAAGCAGGTATTTAAGTCAATGTGTTGGGGGGAGGAGTGGAAATGTATGGTGGCATAGCTATAGGCACATGGTAGTGCACGCTTTGTATGTACTTTGGTGTCGAAAATGGCCTGGATCAGCTATGTCTGATTTATGGAGATCTTGTGTTTGTGTGATACCTCATTGTGAATGGAGTGATGCTAGAGCATGTGGTATAAGCTGAGACGTGGTCTGGGTTTTCAATGTACTTGTGTATCCGTTGTAAAAGTATCGCATATATTGTTGTGTGTGCAGTTCTTGTGATTATATCTATTTTATACCGTGGTGTGCTCAAACGGCGCAAATCAGACGGGGCGTATGACTTGCGAATCAACCATCATCACCATCTTATCGTGACACACATCTTTCACGGAATTTTGTACACAGTGCGAGTATATTGTTTGAATTGTTCTTTATTGGCGCACATATGCATACGTTTTGGCCTTCCTCTTGTAATGTTTCTGTGTGGGGGTAGAGATTGTTGCAATCGAATGGAAATGGGCCCAAGACCTACTACCTCCCGCACATACACAATAGATTGCTGTTATCTCTGCTCTCTACTATAAGATAGACTATCTTCTCAATATACTTCTCAATATACGCTGGCTACGTGATGAAAATTCCATTCTGTGACATCTCCATTTTGCAACCGAGAAAAATGCGCGGTAAACACAGACTGGACGTCGTACTCTGATTTGATCATACCCGAGACTTTAATGCCTTGGATTTGTACACACGTGCTGACACATTGCGGTTGTTCTCGGGTTACGCGTACACAGCTGCTGATGCATGGGCATTCGCTGGAGATGTTCATTGAGGGCGGGCGAAGTCGTAATGGCAAGGTGCTGATGCCCAAGACGGGGGCGCTGCAGTCGGTGATTGGTGCTGTGATGGAGTCTGAGCTGGATGTAATGATTGTGCCCATTGCGCTGAGCTTCGATCGCATTGTCGAGACACAGTCCCATCTCAACGAACTGTCAGGTGTGTGTATGGTTGGTTGTTGCAGATGTGGGTTGAAGCGGGGCTATGCATGCGTGTGCACAATTAGGATATGGCTGATACTGTGCATTCATGGGACTGAGTTATATCTTGTGAACGGCCATTTAGACATGTGATATTTTTTCTTTATCTCAATGCATTAATGCGTACATAAACATGCATGTCTATGTACAATGTCATTTTTATCGTGTAGAAACTCAAAACCTTATTAAAAAAATGTGTACAGGCTTTGTAATGTTTGTGTTAATGGGTGTGTGCTAATGCACCTGTGGTGTCCACTTGGTCATATGCTTGATGAATGTTTTGGGTCTTCTAGCTAATATTTTCGGAGTGTTGCGAATATTCTCATGCGTTCTAGGAGTGCAACAGCTGTTGTTCTCGAGACCAGTTTAGCGATGCTCTATCACATCAGCGCTTACACTTCCGAATGGTATTTTGAACACGGCTTTTATCTTTACATGTACAGGTAAACCAAAGCAAGCAGAGCAGCTCTTCTTCTCGCTCTTCAGCATCAGCAGCGTCATGACCTCGGCTGCTACTCAGGTGTGTTATGCGCGGTGGTTAGGTATAGGCTTTGGAATCGACAGTCTATGCATATTGTGAATAATCGCCTATTGTCTTTTTGAGCACAAATAGGTATATTTTTGGAGTATCACGTCTACAAGTCTAAGTCTTCATGTGTCTATGGTCTGTTTTTGTTTTTTGTTTTTTTTCAACAGCAATGTCAATTGTGTATGCACAGCACCATAGCTTGTATCTCAATGTCGACGAATTCCATATTGGTTTCAATGCATAACGATTTGATGACGTGCTGCGTGGCAACGAATCTATCACACAACATACATTCACACACATACGTGAATGAAATGTGTTTCGCATGCACACATGCACATCTGCTCACCACTCGCCTCATCACACACTATCCCATGCCTACACAAGCAACTATGTAGTGATTGTTTGATCGTCTTATTATCGAACTGCATCACTCTTCTCCTGTATGTAGAGGTCTCAGTTGATCCTCATATATGCGTAAGCACTATACATCTTGCGTATCCTCGCATAAACAAGCACCTGTCAGACCTACATACTGTCCTTCTCGCGCAGACAGTGGTATAGAGTTGATTGATATTTCATATATGCGGTCTCACTCACGCCACCTGACCCCCACCCTGGTACTTGCACAGTCGAATACTTATGGATCGGTTGATCTGCGCTTCGCCGAGCCTATTTCCATCCGCAAGTTCATCAATGAGGGCGAAGGGAAACTGCCGCCACTCACCAAAGGTGCAGACATTTACAACAACATGGTGGACCCAGAGGCCAGGGGCTACCACTCAGTCACTCCGCCCAGCAGCGATGAAGGGTATGAATGTCTTCTTAGCAATGAAGGATGTGACTGTTCCTTTTAGTTATGTATGCAAATTACCCGTGTATGCATAGACACGTGCGTCTTGTGTATGAGATTATATGGCAATTGTGTGCAATCCATTCATTTATCACGCAGTATACGCGTGTTCTGAAGTTCTGCTGTATTGGTAACGTGCCTTCTGATGATCAGAATCGTGTGTTTGTAACGTACAGTCGCATACAATTATTCGCACTACCCGTCTTTTCTCGCGAACAGCTCCAAGGATAACAAAGTAACCTTACAGCAGACCAAGAGATCACTCAGGAACCAGAAATCACTAGTCACTGAGAAGTGGCCTTATCTCTCATACGAGGGTGAGCACGACACCGACAAGGCAAAGTACCTCGCCTTCCGCCTGGGCTATCGCGTGCTGTACGAGTGCAACGATGTGTCTGTGGTGCTTCCTGCCTCACTGCTAGCCACCGTGTTACTTAGTCAACACCAGCGCGGCATCTACAGAGACGAGCTGATCTCAAAGGTATGGGCACGTGTCATTGTGTCGCTACCAATGTGCATCTCATATAAGTACAGATTATTATTACATTGTTGTTATTGTTATTATTTTTATTATATTTATATATATATGTGTGTGTGTGTGTGTGTGCAATAATCCACTCGTTCACGGTCGTGAATTAATATATCTGTACTTACAGGTTTACTGGCTACAAAGTGAGATTCACAAACGGGGCGGGCGAGTAATACCCTTGACCACGGACACCATTGACATGACCGTCACGTTGGTACTGGGAGGCTTTGGCGGGGCAAATGAACTCGTCAAAACACACAACGACAGGTATTGTGCATATGTAAATAAATATATACACATGTCGAGATGTGTATATACACGTAGATATGAATTTAGGTGTACATGTATATTTATGTTGGCATGGGACAAACCAACAAGTACGTGACGTCAACTAATGTGTCCAATTTTAGTCACAATCTCCCAAGCATGTGCCTCAATGCCTCGAGATGCCTTTCGTTTGTACATAGCGCGCTGCTGTTCTGGCTGTTTGCAGGAACGTATGCTCTCAATCGGATGTGCTAAACTCTTCCGCACCACTCTTGTTATGCCACATCTCCAGAGTGCTGCTGTCGCTATATAATCCTGAGGAACGCATGGAGCTGAGTACATACCGCAACCAACTAGTGCACCACTTCATCCGCGAGAGCATCATGTGCTGCTGCATCTATGCGTTGGAGAAGCAGGCACCCACAGACACAGAAGGCGGACCCTCGTTTGTCGACTACATGGACCTTTACGCCCTGAACAGGTGCGTGCAATGGCTGACAAGCTGGAGCTATTTGTGCTCTGTCTATTGAGACGAATTAGATAGTAGTTCTAGTGTGGAGTGTCGCATCGCATGTTCCTTGTGGGACGTAAACAGACTTTTGTCAATTCAAATTGTGTCGGGAGATTAATGTTGCTACGTACGTCCACCAGGCGGTCTCGGGCGCTACTCGCGTGTGGTGGCAGCTAGCACTTTTTGAGAGCGGTTTGGTATTTAGAGCACAGCATCTGTTGTGGTGAGTAGATTGTGTATTTTAGAGCAATAAGGAATGGCTGGGGCTATCTCTTCTATTTCAAAGTCCTGAATATTTACAGACAGGCTAATTGTACCAGTACGTCGGATATTAGGCTGTGATCCCTGACGTGTCACACACGCGCGCGCAATTGGTGTCAATTCTAACCGCTCACGTCACACCCAATCTATGTACACTTTCAGATATCTGACGCAGTTGCTTAAAATGGAGTTCGTCTTCCGGCCGTCAATGGGTGTTGGGATTAACGAGCACTTTGACCTCACACTGACGGAAATGGTCGACCGAGGCATCATCGCCTATCACCCGGAGGACCAGAACAAAATCTGCGTGTCGGAAGCGGTTGAGGATGGCGAGATGAAGGGTACACTCACATACCTGTTCCTGTGCTCCATTGCATGGCCGTTTATTGACACGTACTGGCTGTGCACACTTGGGCTGTTTGCCCTCTTACCGAACAAAGCCATCCAGGTGAGTGTTTGATTTTCAAAGGCTTCTGTGCTAGTAGGATTGGCTTGTAGCTATTGCTTGTGTCGCTTGTGAAATTGGTTGTGGTTGAGTGGGATGGCAATTGCATTTGCTTGAATTGTATGTTTAACTCATCCACTGCCGGTTTAACGTTGGCACTGCACAGGAGGATGTGCTGATCCGTAAGATGCAAGACTTTGGCGAGACGCTGTACTTCTCCGGTGCGATGGACTTGTACGAATCGATCAGCAAAGTCACGCTCGAAAATGCGCTGCAATTGCTAAACAAGGCATGTTTAAATATGTGTTGCACCTGCTGCTCGCGTATACATTACCTCGTATACCATGTTAAACATCCGGCCATCCAGAATACATGTTTCTGTGAAGAAAAATATATATATATTGGACTAGATATTTTTTCTGTGTTCAGAGGATTTCACGTGGAAAGCGTGTGAGAACGATGGGCGCGCATTCACTCAACTTCAATAAACATTGACGAAATTGCGCTCAAATTGACTTTATACGTCGAGAGCACTATTTTGTGTTGTTGATGCGCTGAGTGTTCATAAGAATTCAAGCTCGCAAATTCAATGTGCGGGTCGTAGAAAAGTCTGACTACATATGTTTTGTTCTACTGGCGCTGGCGTACAGACTGCCGGGAGTAATGTATTGAAACGGTATTGATAGAGATTTTTAGGTGTATATTTGTACTGACTTTTTGATTATGTATTCCTTTGTTTGTATGCAGGTATCTAGTTGTATTCATAAAAAAAATGTTTTATTCACACATCGATTCTTACACACTCTGCACAGTGGCGGGTGATTAGCATACTTAGAGTAGAGGGTTCGTCGTCGAAGAAGCGCGCTGTACAGTTAAGGCCGGAGTATTGCAGTGCCGAGAAGATACAAGAACTCGTTTTCCAAATCGCGAACTTCAGGAAAAAGTCCAGGGTAGGTGGAAATACATGCTCTCCTTGCACGCGATACCGCTCATCTCGATCCGCTGTAAAATTCCCGTGCCTTTGTGTTTTGTGGAGTAAATTTTCTTTGTCACGCTTGCTCAGCTTCACTAACTATCTCGGTTGTTGTTTTGCATGTATTATAACTTATTTATTAACACGTATTGTGCGCGCAACCGTCTCTTTTTTTTTGCTAAATTTGCATTTAACTTTGTATCCTTCTTATTGACTTGGATATGCTTTTAACCCCCGATATGCAGATGTACCGATCCAGACAATTCCGTGTACAGCACCATCATGAAGTGTGGGATGCGATTAACACAGTCAAAACCCTTTGCAAGAAGAGCAAAAGTGGAAGTCAGAGCCTGCCCGCCTCACCAATTACAAATAAGAAGGCACTACATATTTGAGACTGGACCGTATCGGTTTTCGGTATATTCCCGGCGTTTACGATATATACAAGTACACTACACTCACTAAATAATCAATGAACCTCGTGTGGACGTATGTTTTAGAGTTTTAGATAAAAATTACTGATACCGCTGTCACATATAGCGGCGTATACGATTTCTCCGATGCAAAACGATAAAGTACGAAGGATGCATATAAAAATTTCGCACAGCCTGCTGCGACTGCTGACACGTACATTGCAAGTGCGTGCCATAAGAACGACTGGTCCAGTACTTGGTCAACTCTGTGTAAGCGTTTTGTCGAATGACAAACAGATGGGACATATTTTGGTTCAATATATGTTGCCAATATGCATGCTATATATAGCCAATGCAGTAGAACACTTTTTCTCGGCAAAATCGGACTCCCATAAAATAATAAAGAAACCTTACAGCTTCAAAGTTGACCACTATCCACTTAGTATGGATCTTGATTCGTAAGTTTTACACAGGACATATGCACCTGATCTAGGTACGCCAAGGTTCGCATCAGTTAATGGTCTGTATTACCCCATCCAATCTACATTGGTCTGTATCTCCCCTCATGAAATATAAGAACAGCGTAATTGTGAAATCGTCTTGGCCTGCCAAAAATTCAGGCAATATAGCATGGTACTTGAAAACTTGTGTACTTGTCGAATTAAACTTGCAAGTATTTAATGGACAGTTCACGTACTTTGAGTTTCCAAAAGATTTGCTCTACCCATGCTGAAAATCCAAACCAGCCTCTGTTTGAGTAAAGACAGGTGGACGTATAGATACCAAGCTAAACCCCCTGTCAATACTCTCAGTCTGTACATATTGATCAGGAAGTTTCGCTACAATTAAATGTATCCATGCCCTCGGCAGGTAGCATGGATACAGCGTGTGACCTCGCTATATGATGTTTGTTCGCACAAGACCAGTGCTGCTTTCAGCTTTACCTATACACACAATTGCATGATTCTGTCAGGCGTCTACGATTTCGCAAACTGGCTCGAATATGGTAAACTATAGCTACCATTTTAATTCGAACCTGACTAGGAATTGATTCGCCCTAAACCCCAGAATCCCACCCAGTATTTTATATTTTCCCTTTGTGCATGACATGATGAACGAGAGTGATAAACCTGACGATGTACTGAGGTATTTTCAGGTGGCTGTGGCTGTTGTCTTCCTCTAGGCACAACAAAGATTGAATTTGAACTGTCAACCCGGTCTTTCATCGTAACGTAGTGGACTTCCATTCATAAGTGACATTGCACGCATAATATTGGGGTAACCTTGGAGAGGATGATGGTCTCCACATCATCACAAGTGTGAATTAGTCGACAAAACGGGTCACTTAGCTTCGAATTCCGATAGGCAGTGCTAAATTTTGATGCAGTACAACTACTATGATATCAAACAATACTGTACGTGCGGAATCGCAACCAATTACCCAATCTCCATCGTGCGATACTTGTGTTAGACCATGAGGTGAAGTACTTTTGCGTTCCATAAGGCTTTTTAATGTCAAATTTAACGTGAAGCGATGACCCGTTTCCAGAGGACTATAGGTGGCACAGCCTTTGTACCTTAAAAGCCTATTAAATGCGCAATACTTTCAACCAGACATGCTTACAGGGAGAAACAAAAAGTATTCGTCTTTACGTCAAGTATGAGCGAAAATTCACTGCCGCCGACACGCTGTGTATCGTACATTGACCGTGACGTAATTGGAATATAAGACTAGATCAAAAAACATATCGCATATCGAGTTTAATGCATTAAAGATCATCATCCGACAGTATTCACGGAGCTAAATCGATTTTGGAGAAGCTGAAGCTATCACCCTGATATATCTTTAAGCAGACCTGAAAGTCTACTTATCGTATCGGAAATTTCAGTAACTGATTCTATGGTAATCAAAGCAAAATGAAACAATCTAGTATCACATCAAGAGGTATACTCGTTTATTAGACATAAGCCCATTATTTACCTCGCATTACGGCAGGCGGAATAGTGGCACACGTACACAAATCCACGTCAGGCAGTGGTTGATAGAAGTCTTGATGTATAGACATATCATGACTGAGGCCCAGGTGATCAGCAAATTTCATAAACATGTCTTGCCTCTTCATAGCATGTCCTGTGCGTGTGCTTATGCTCTTGCTCTTAAAAATCTTGCGTCTGCCTGCACGACCATTGACACCTAGGTCGTACAGACACCCCGTCTTATTCTGGTCATCCCTGGGATCTTCCAATTCCGGACTATTGCGGGTGAGAGCAATCGGTCTGTGACCTGCAATGTGGAATCAATGAGAAAATTATAAAACACGGAAAATAGGAATACGAGGTTTTCCCGCATCTTCTGAGGATCCTATCATGAATATCCTTTGGTATACCGCACACGCCCAACAGGAAAGGCACGACGCAGACAGCTGATGCAGGTAATCAAATTCTAAACTTTCACGGTGAACTGGACAAACGGACAGATCGGGCTAAAATTGTGCTCGGGTACACCTCTTTGAGACTGCGCTCTAATACTCTGCGCCTATTAAGACCATAAGGCACATCTGAACGAACTGTGTGTACCGTATTTTCTGATCTTTCACGAATTCCGTGTAGTATATACAACAAGTGCAAAGAAAGTGTCAAATATGTCGTCGCAGTCTGCCGCTATAAGTCAATCTGGTTTTGATCATGTCCCCGCCCACTTACCATTGTAACGTGATATCATATTCATTGCAATATCGTCGCCATTGAACATCTCATCGACCATCTCTCGGATGAGTTTGGTTTTATCCTCGCATGCATACTGTCGCAATAGTTCATATGACATCATAGCTGAGCCCGTCAAGACAAAATTGTATCCAGGGTCTGGACCAAATATGCGAGCCCGAGCCCGATCTGGGTACGTGCCATTTGCATAGAACCTTCTGTACGCATAGCCTACAATTGAACCCTACAAGTTTTATTGCACAAGATAAATTCAGAAATGAATAATAAGATTGAAGGTAATTCAAGTTAGTGTGAAGTGGTAAGCGTGAGCACCTTCGCCTGTAGGCATCTGAATAACATTGTTGCAGCAAATACAGGTTATAAACAACGCTTGGTCGTTGTTAAAATGAAAGTGAATCACGACGATTAACTTACGCTGCTACTATTCAACCATTGAAGAGCACAAATAAATATTTTATCCAATAATGAGCATACGAACCTGATGCTGTAGCCAGTTATCGAACGCAAACTCCAGAGCTTCACCTGGTAGGCGGATATCCATATCCAAAATGTAAACGGCAGCCGTACGTATTGGTGACCAGGGCATGAAGCGGTTATTCATACTGTTATGAGCCATCTTAATTATCACCACACGTGGACCACCTTCCCGTATCCTTACTTCCAGCAATTCCTTTGGAGGGAGCCAATCATTGTTCCATAATAATACTACCTACATAGGCAAGGTTGAGACATGCGTGGTACCAAGTTAAGAGAACGCGACTGAACCTCGGAGATATGAACGTACACTCCAATCTGTGCCCAGGGCATGTGATAGAGATGCAACATGACAGGTATGTTTACCTCCAATCTCTACACATCAGATTCGCACACAACCCAGGACATGTATTCACTGAGTACTGCTCTCGCAAACCGTCTGCAACACGGCTTCCGACAATATTAGAGGTACCAGAACACGATGGGAAGCTGGCTCCCAAATGGTGTGTAGAATTCAAACTCTAAATCGAGATATGTGTATCAGATGCTCTATCATTCTAAGCACTTGGTCTAACTTCTACAATAGTTGAGCACGTAACAGCCAAACATACTTGACACGGACAATCGGTGAAGTATAGAATGAAAAGAATCGTCGATGTCATTGCAATCCTCGTACCTGATCCAAGCGTTTCATACTCTCCAATGTCAGATCGTACACGAGTTGCTTCCATTTACACTTGCCATGGATCAGCATCAACAGAGTGTACTTTGTTTTGCTCAGAGCGGAGGGTGTCTTGGGGTGGGTGCAAGGGTCTTTCCGGGGCATGTACAATGGACCTACTTTCTTCATATCCTTTTTCCCGTTTCCAGCCTTGTTGACTTCACTCTTTTGGATTGGTTCTGTATGTTCGATACGAAGCATTAGGATAACATTTAGAAGACTCGCAGAAACACAATCAAATTCACCCAGAGAGGACACAAACCGTCGTATCTAAGCTTGAACCTCGGCAAAGAAGAACAGATTGTATACGTCCAATGTGGAGAAAAAATATACCACGGTAAATCCATGACATCTGACTGAAAGCAGCAATGTAATCAGACAACTTCATATGAACAACTATGATGTCGAGAATGACACTCTTTGTAAAGTGTACATGTCTCTAACTACACATTTTGCGGGGAGGTACCAGCCAGCATTGGTTGTCAACAATTCAAATTCGATATTCGAGCTTTTTAATCAGTGACCATTCATTCGATAACCTTTATTTTGTTGTTGCACAGTGCAGAACCCTCAAAATCAAACTAGTCATCCCCTACACACAAACGCATTCGAACTTTTATCTTGTCTGATCACTGCTCAAATATAAATACAAAGGCAAAAGGCTCAGGCTCGTGGATGTCATAGGCTCTAAACTGGGCAACACGCACACAAATATGGTATTTACTATTCTGTATATATAAAATAGCAACCACTTGATTGTCGAACGATTATGATTGAGCGGGTACTTGATATTAAAATGATGCCATTGACACCGAAACATGCATCTAACGTGTGCAATTGACAAAGTGATCACCCATATCTCTTCAGTCAATATGTAAATGAGTATGTAATTGTCCATATAAAGACCTACATACAGATCATGTCGTCCAACGAACAACCAGCAGGAAAGGTGCGTGTATGTGAAATCTCACTATAATGCTAATGATCAGTCAGGGATTCAAACAAGTAGCAATCAAAACCGACCACCACGTATCCAGCTTATTTAGTGAACCTTTTTGCTTGTTTCCATTGAAAGTGAACGTCATCCTGTAGTACTTTTACTCGTATAAGTTCACATGTGCCCGCCCCCCTAGTGATCATTTCATGAATTTCGCTTGCTTGTCTCGAATCACGATTCGTACCTTCAAAAATGTATACAAGTGTATAACATACTTTGAGAATGGAATAGTCAGTATAGATTTAAATGAGTAGACATAGTATAGATTCAAATGAGTAGACATAGTATAGATTCAAGAGAGTAGACATGTATAGATTCAAATGAGTAGACCGATTTTTATAGATTCAAATGAGTAGACATAGTATAGATTCAAATGAGTAGACATAGTATAGATTCAAATGAGCACACATAGTATAGATTCAAATGAGCAGACATAGCATAGATTCAAATGAGTAGACATAGTATAGATTCAAACGAGTAGACAAAGTATAGATTCAAATGAGTAGACATAGTATAGATTCAAATGAGTAGACATAGTCTATATTCAAATGAGTAGACATAGTATAGATTCAAATGAGCAGACATAGTATAGATTCAAATGAGTATACATAGTATAGATTCAAATGAGCAGACACAGTATATACTCAAATGAGTAGACATAGTATAGATTCAAATGAGTAGACATAGTCTAGATTCAAAAGAGTAGACATAGCATAC